ACAATGAACATAAAAAACAAAAAACAACCAGAACAACCAAAGACAAATGCAGCATAGATAAACAAAGTGAAACACACACAAATAAACAAACAAACATATAAACAAACACATCATCACCGATTCAAATACAAAATAATCTTACACACACACACACATACGCACACACCACACACACACACACACACACACACACACACATATACATACACACACACACACACACACACACACACACACACACACACACACACACACACACACACACACACACACACACACACACACACATTGTACACACACACACACACACACACACACACACACACACACACACACACACACACACACTGTATATGAAGCTTAAAACTGGACTACATGGAGGTTGGAGGCTGGTTTATTTCATCTGATGGCTAACTCTAACTGAGCTTAAACCTCACCTAAACTAAATATAATGTAACCTAACACAACTCCAACCTAACCTGCTAACCCTAACCTAACCTGGCAAGCAAGGCCTAATCTGGCCAACCTAACTTCTTGAACTAACTGAAAATATATCCTAACTAACTAGTCCTGGAACCTAATCTAACCTAACTAACTTAATCTGGCCAACCTAGCCTAACTGACTAAATCTAATTTAACCTAACCTAACATAAGCAATCCCGATTAGGTTAACGTCTGGCCGGAGTTCCCAAGGCTCAGTACTTGGACCATGATTATTTATTATATACATAAACGACATAGATATCGGCGTGACAGCAACATAGAGTAGAATTTGCTGATGACACTAAAGTAGGGCGTGTAATTAAATCTGCGAAATTGCTCGAGCAAAACTACAGGAAAGATCTAAACAAATTTTTGAATGGTCGGAAAAATGGCAGATGAAATTTAATGTGGACAAATGTAAATTACTTTCGAGTGATTAGGAGATGTAAACAGAAGCCAGATATTAGATGAACAACGATGTTATAGAAATCAGACTAAGAAAAATTTAGGAGTAATGATAAGTAGGAACTTTAAGCCAAGACAACAATGTGTATTTGCTCGTAACAAGGCTCAATAAAAGAGTACTTGGGGTTCATACAAAGGGTGTTAGTTAAAGACTAGCGGTCATCTAAAACTATATCTTGCTTATTGAGACCTCACTTGGATTACGCAGTTCGGTTTTGGTCACTGTATTACAGAATGGATATAGAATCCTTGAAAGAATTCAGAGGAAGGATGACAAAGACTAATCCGGGCATTAGGAACCTTGAGTACAGAGACAGGATAAAGCTTCTTAATTTACCTCCTCGAGAGACGTAGAGTGAGGGCGATATGATAGAGGTGTATAAATGGAAGTCAGGGTTAAACAATGTGATATAACAAGGTACTTAAACTATCAACCAGGAGCGAACTCGTAGCAATGGCTTTCATTAACAAATTTGAATTTAGGCACTTGAAATAGGTAAGCACTGGTTTGGAAATAGAGTAGTGGATGGAGTGGAACAAGTTTCCGAACATCACCATTAACTCGAATCATGGCTGGATAGCTTCAAAATAGGTTGGATGTATATATGAGCACGATAGAGATTTGTAAGGTGTAAACAAGAATACTTCAGTATGGACTAATAGATACACTGCAGTTTCCTCCATTTTTGTGTAATAAACCTCAAATGAACTAACTAACTAACCTAACCTAACCTAACTTAACACAACCTAGCCTAACCTAACAAATGTAATGAAAGAGTTAATCTAACCTGCTTCAGATAAACCTAGCCTAACCTAACATAAACCTAATATAACTTAACCTATCAAGTGCCATAAGCCAAATCAACTTGACCTAAACACCTTGCCCCCACCCTAGTCAGCATTAGCCCCTTCACCGAGTGTCACGCACTTGCCATTTTATTCTGGTTACCGCCAGACCATTTTATTCAGTTTGAGTAACCTCCGCTGTGAAAGGGTTAAGGGTATTAAATCAGAAAATAAACATTACTGCCTAATATTCAGTTGACAGGTAAATTGTACAAACATTTACACACGGGAAAACTTATGATAAACTGTGTACACTAGTCAGCGGCATTAGGTCATGACACATAATTTACGTGTAGAGATTTGGGGGCAGATAGTATATGTAAAATTAATGTGTAAATATTGTACATATGATGATACTGTTGGGTAATGTTTGGAAGTACATATTGGGGAGAGGCTTGTAGCGTGTTGCATGTGTATGAAAGTGAATCTGATATGAGTAATCTACACGCACGTGCACACAAGCACAGACACACCATACATACATACTGTACACACATTATTATTATTATTATAGTAAAATTGTGAAATCGGGTTTACTGTAGTGGTGAAGTGGATACAGTGTTCGCCTACTGGACCAAAGATTCGGTAATGAAGGCAGTCAGTGTTAAAGTTAACCTAGTTCTTACCTGAGTGTCATGTTAAACTCTGAGTGGCATTGATGAAGACAATGACCTGATTCACAATATTTCCCAAATTCTTATTCATTCACGAGTAATTCTATCGCTCAAGGAATATTTTGTTACCCTCAGCCTACAAGTAATTTCTCTCGCTGCAGTATATATATTACCGTCAAATATTCCCTGCAGTGTGAGGCTGAAGTGCCGTAATGAGGTGCCTTATGCAGGCCGGTCATCACTCTGTTATCATGACCGGTATTTTACGACTCAGAAGAAATTGGTTGTGTGTGTTAGTGTGTGTTGTGTTAGTGTGTGTGTGTGTGTGTGTGTTTGTTTGTGTGTGTGTGTGTGTCGGGAATATTGAGTCTCTTTGTTTCTCTGTCTACCTGTCTTCTCTCTCTCTCTCTCGTTCTCTCTCTATTTATCATTTCTATCCATTTATCTCTCTATACAAACTAGAGAGGGGCAACAGCTTGTAAAATACATAAATGACAATTCGTTCTTCAATAATTAATTAACAACTGTACTACATTACATAACTGACATTAATTACTCTAAAATGTTAGAGGTTTTTCTTATAACACAGGGAATTAACGTGACTCGATCTGAAATAATAGTTTAATTACGAATATTATAACTCATAAACTCTATACTGAAATCTATATTGATAAACATCGATTAATTTTATAGGTAAAAAATAAATAAATAAATCGTTACGTCTGGCAGCACATCTTTGGTTGTTATGGGAACCTGACGGCCCAAACTATCGTACAACATAAGGGTTAATCAGCTTATATCTGTTATTGTTTACCAGTCGTACTATATAATAACACTAGTAAATAATAATAAAAAAACACGTCTCTTTTTCTATCTCTCCTATCCATTAAAAATATCTTTAATAATAATAATAATAATAATAATAATAATAATAATAATAAAATAATAATATGTGTATTTGTATAATAATGTGTGTGTAAGTATGTAACAATAATAATAATAATAATATTAATATAATAACAATAACAAACAAATATCAACAATAAACAACAATAACATACCTAATAACACCATCAGCTGAATAACAAGAACACTAATAACACTAATAAGAACAGACATTTGTTCATATAATTTAGACTAATATAACGTAACTAACTGCTATATATATAAGTTATGTTATAATGGGACAATATATTGGAACGATTAGGTGGAGAGAGAGAGAGAATATGGAAATATAAAAAAATATAAAAATAGAGGCGAACAGAATAAGATAGATAGATAGATAGATAGATAGATAGATAGATAGATAGATAGATAGATGAATAGGTTGACTCCCTCACAACTATTATAAAAGAAATACCCATAACCTAACCTAACCCAAGCCAATATGCAAATCAGTGTTAAATGTGTGTGTGTGTGTGTGTGTGTGTGTGTGTGTGTGTGTGTGTGTGTGTGTGTGTGTGTGTGTGTGTGTGGGTGTTAGTCCGAAAGAAAAAAATCCCTTTCGTAATTACCTGGTAGACGAATCCCTTCCTCCCTCCCTGTCTCTCCCTTCTTCGTTCCTCCCTCTCTCTCCTCCTCCTCCTCCTTCCCCCTCTCCTCTCTCTCTCTTTTCTCCCTCCTCCTTCCTCACTCCCCTCCTTTCCTCCCACAACCTGCCTCGACCACCACTAATATGTACTAATGGGTCGGTAAGTTAAAGTACCTAGAGAGAGAGAGAGAGAGAGAGAGAGAACTCTATCACGTTATTACAATAATTTCATGCAATTTGTCGATTAAATTTCTTTATGATGCTTTATGTTGTGTGTGCTTGATGGTGAATTTTGGTCATTAAAGAAAAATTACGGTGAAATATTACCCATGATAATGTTCCTTTATCGCCTTAGTTTTATCCGTCAAGATAATAGTTATGTAAATATCTAACAGCTCTTCGCGTTGTTTACATTCTGGTTACAGAAACATGGCGGCGTGGTCACGTGATTCGTATCCACCAATCACGGTTGAGTTTCATAGTTCATGTTAAGTATCGCCCGAATCATAATCGAGATTTAACTATGATTTTTTTTCCAACATGACCGGATCAAGGTTCTGAGGGTTGATCAAGGTCTGAGGTTGATCAAGGTCTGAGGGTTTGATCAAGGTTCTGAGGTTGATCAAAGTCTGAGGGTTGATCAAGGTCTGAGGGTTGATCAAGGTCTGAGGGTTGATCAAAGTCTGAGGTTGATCAAGGTTCTGAGGTTGATCAAGGTTCTGAGGGTTGATCAGGGTCTCAGGGTTGATCAAGGTCTGAGGGTTGATCAGGTCTGATGGTTGGATCAAGGTCTGAGGTGATCAGGGTCTCAGGGTTGATCAAGGTCTGAGGTTGATCAAAGTCTGATGGTTGATCATGGTCTGAGTGAGGGTTGATCAAGGTCTGAGGGTTGATCATGGTCTGAGGGTTGATCAAGGTCTGAGGGTTGATCAAGGTCTGAGGGTTGATCAAGGTCTGAGGGTTGATCATGGTTGCAGGGTTGATCAAGGTCTGAGGGTTGATCAAAGTCTGAGGTTGATCAAGGTCTGAGGTTGATCAAAGTCTGAGTTGGTCAAGGTCTGATGGTTGATCATGGTCTGAGGTTTGAGGTTGATCAAGGTCTGAGGGGTTGATCATGGTCTGAGGTTGATCAAGGTCTGAGGTTGATCAAGGTCTGAGGGTTGATCAAGGTCTGATGGTTGATCAAAGTCTGAGGGTTGAGGTTATTTTTCTTTGAGTGAAAGATAAAAAAAAGTTATCTGTAAATTTTTGTCGTATCTCAGAGCGAAGGTTCGACGCTACTTTGGTCATAATTACTGAAGAACCTTTTACTGGGATTCTATCTTTGTGTGGTAACTAAAGCGAGCGACTTTGGTCATAATTACTGAAGAACCTTTTACTGGGATTCTATCTTTGTGTGGTAACTTAGCGGGCGACTTTGGTCATAATACTGAAGAACCTTTTGGGATTTATCTTTGTGTGGTAACTAAAGCGAGCGACTTTGGTCATAATTACTGAAGAACCTTTACTGGGATTCTATCTTTGTGTGGTAACTAAAGCGAGCGACTTTGGTCATAATTACTGAAGAACCTTTCTGGGTTCTATCTTTGTGTGTAGTAACTAAAGCGAGCAACTTTGGTCATAATTACTGAAGAACCTTTAACTGGATTCTATCTTTGTGTGTAACTAAAACGACGACTTGGTCATAATTACTGAAGAACCTTTACTGGGATTCTATCTTTTAGTGGTAACTAAACGAGCGACTTTGGTCATAATTACTGAAGAACCTTTTACTGGGATTCTATCTTTGTGTGGTAACTAAAGCGACGACTTGGGTCATAATTACTGAAGAACCTTTAACTGGGATTCTATCTTTGTTAGTAACTAAGCGAGCGACTTTGGTCATAATTACTGAAGAACCTTTAACTGGATTCTATCTTTGTGTGGTAACTAAAGCGAGCGACTTTGGTCATAATTACTGAAGAACTTTTACTGGGATTCTATCTTTGTGTGGTAACTAAAGCGAGCGACTTTGGTCATAATTACTGAAGAACCTTTTACTGGATTCTATCTTTGTGTGGTAACTAAAGCGAGCGACTTTGGTCATAATTACTGAAGAACCTTTACTGGGATTCTATCTTTGTGTGGTAACTAAAGCGGGCGACTTTGGTCATAATTACTGAAGAACCTTTTACTGGGATTCTATCTTTGTGTGTAACTAAAGCGACGACTTTGGTCATAATTACTGAAGAACTTCTTTACTGGGATTCTATCTTTGTGTGTGGTAACTAAAGCGAGCGACTTTGGTCATAGTACTGAAGAACCTTTTACTGGGATTCTATCTTTGTGTAGTAACTAAAGCGAGTGACTTTGGTCATAATTACTGAAAGAACCTTTTACTGGAGTTCTATCTTTGTTAGGTAACTAAAGCGACGACTTTTGGTCATAATTACTGAAGAACCTTTTACTGGATTCTATCTTTGTGTGGTAACTAAAGCGAGCGACTTTGGTCATAATTACTGAAGAACCTTTTACTGGGATTCTATCTTTGTGTGGTAACTAAAAGCGACGACTTTGGTCATAATTACTGAGAACCTTTTACTGGGATTCTATCTTTGTGTAGTAACTAAAGCGAGCGACTTTGGTCATAATTACTGAAGAACCTTTTACTGGGATTCTATCTTTGTGTGGTAACTAAAGCGAGCGACTTTTGGTCATAATTACTGAAGAACCTTTTACTGGGATTCTATCTTTGTGTAGTAACTAAAGCCCGAGCGACTTTGGTCATAATTACTGAAGAACCTTTACTGGGATTCTATCTTTGTGTGGTAACTAAAACGAGCGACTTTGGTCATAATTACTGAAGAACCTTTTACTGGGATTCTATCTTTGTGTGGTAACTAAAGCGAGCGACTTTGGTCTTGATTACTGAAGGAACTTTTACTGGGATTCTATCTTTGTGTAGTAACTAAAGCGAGCGACTTTGGTCATAATTACTGAAGAACCTTTTACTGGGGATTCTATTTTGTGTGGTAACTAAAGCGAGCGACTGGTCATAATTAGAAGAACCCTGGGATTCTATCTTTGTGTAGTAACTAAACGACGACTTTGGTCATAATTACTGAAGAACCTTTTACTGGGATTCTATCTTTGTGTGGTAACTAAAGCGGAGCGACTTTGGTCATAATTACTGAAGAACCTTTTGCTGGGATTCTATCTTTTGTGTGGTAACTAAAGCGAGCGACTTTGGTCATAATTACTGAAAGAACCTTTTTACTGGGATTCTATCTTTGTGTGGTAACTAAAGAGCGACTTTGGTCATAATTACTGAAGAACCTTTTACTGGGTTCTATCTTTGTGTGGTCTAAAGGAGCGACTTTGGTCATAATTACTGAAGACCTTTTACTGGGATTCTATCTTTGTGTGGTAACTAAAGCGAGGCGACTTTGGTCATAATTACTGAAGAACCTTTTACTGGGATTCTATCTTTGTGTGTAACTAAAGCGAGCGACTTTGGTCATAATTACTGAAGAACCTTTTACTGGGATTCTATCTTTGTGGTGGTAACTAAAGCGAGCGACTTTGGTCATAATTACTGAAGAACCTTTTACTGGGATTCTATCTTTGTGTAGTAACTAAAGCGAGTGACTTTGGTATAGTACTGAAGAACTTTTACTGGGTTCTATCTTTTGTGGTAACTAAGGAGCGACTTTGGTCATAATTACTGAAGAAACCTTATGGGATTCTATCTTTGTGTAACTAAAGGAGCGACTTTGGTCATAATTACTGAAGAACCTTTTACTGGGATTCTATCTTTGTGTGGTAACTAAAGCGAGCGGACTTTGGTCATAATTACTGAAGAACCTTTTACTGGGATTCTATCTTTGTGTGGTAATTTAAAGCTGAGCGACTTTGGTCATAATTACTGAAGAACCTTTACTGGGATTCTATCTTTTGTGTGGTAACTAAAGCGAGCGACTTTGGTCATAATTACTGAAGAACCTTTTACTGGGATTCTATCTGTGTGGTAACTAAAGCGAGCGACTTGGTCATAATTACTGAAGAACTTTACTGGGATTCTATCTTTGTGTGGTAACTAAAGCGAGCGACTTTGGTCATAATTACTGAAGAACCTTTTACTGGGATTCTACTTGTGGTAACTAAAGCGAGGACTTTGGTCATAATTACTGAAGAACCTTTTACTGGGATTCTATTTGTGGTAACTAAAGCGAGCGGGTCAAATGTGTTTATACATCACCATTTAGTAACAAAAAAAAGACCATGAACAACCTAACTTAACCTAACCCAACCCAAATTAACCTAACTTAATCCAACCCAACCTACCCGGAGCTAATCCAACCAAAATAGCCTAACTTCATCCAACCAACCTACCGGAGCTAATCCAACCCAAAATAGCCTAACTTCATCCAACCCAACCTACCGGAGCTAATCCAACCCAAAATGGCCTAACTTCATCCAACCCAACCTACCGGAGCTAATCCAACCCAAAATAGCCTAACTTAATCCAACCCAACCTACCCGGAGCTAATCCAACCCAAAATAGCCTAACTTCAACCCAACCCACCCGGAGCTAATCCAACCCAAAATAGCCTAATCCTAATCCAACCCAACCTACCCGAGCTAATCCAACCCAACCTAACCGGAGCTAATCCAACAGCCTAACTTAATCCAACCCAACCTACCCGGAGCTAATCCAACCCAAAATAGCCTAACTTAATCCAACCCAACCTACCTGGAGCTAATCCAACTCAAAATAGCCCAACTTAATCCAAACCAACCTACCGGCTAATCCAACCCAAAAATAGCCTAACTAATCCAACCCAACCTACCCGGAGCTAATCCAACCCAAATTAACCTAACTTCATCCAACCCAACCTACCCGGAGTAATCCAACCCAACCTACCCGGAGCTAATCCAACCCAACCTACACCGAGCTAATCCAACCCAACCTACACCGGAGCTAATCCAACCCAACCTACACCGGACATAATCCAACCCAACCTACCCGAGCTAATCCAACCCAAATTAACCCAACTCATCCAACCCAACCTACACCGGAGCTAATCCAACCCAACCCACACCGGAGCTAATCCAACCCAACCTACACCGGAGCTAATCCAACCCAACCCAACCTAATCTACCCCATCCCAATCAAACCTATGACCAACCCAACCTAACCTAACCCAACCCAAATACCTAACTTTAATCCAACCCAACCCACACCGGAGCTAATCCAACCCAACCTAACCCAACCTAACCTAACCTAACCTAACCTAATCTACCCCCATCCAGATAGCGTTAGTGTATTTATGCCCCGGTTGTAATATGCCGTGAGCTATCTTGGGAGACTACAACACGCAGTCATATATATACACAAACCTTTGAGTATAAGCCGGGCATTCAGCTAAGAGCGTGTAGTACAAGGGAGGGAGGGAGGGAGGGAGGAGGGAGGGAGGGAGGGGAGGAGGAGGAGGGAGGAGGAGGAGGGGGGAGGGGGTGGGAGGAACTATGTTTTTGATGTTGATATCCAACTTGAGGATTGACTTAGTAGACATCAAAGTGAATAACTCTACTGTATGTGTATGTGTGTGTGTGTGTGTGTGTGTGTGTGTGTGTGTGTGTGTGTGTGTGTGTGTGTGTGTGTGTGTGTGTGTGCGCGCACAGGGTGTAATGCGTCTAGTGTGCAGCACTGCTTGCTCTCTCTCACTTTCAGCTACCGCCACTAGCCAGCCCTCGTGACGAACAAGGAAGCAAATTGTATAAGTCTTCCCCTGCCAGTACACAGCCTCCTCACCATCAAGACTCCTGCTGTGCCTCCTCGTGGCAACACACGGTAACTGGGCCTGGGGCCCAGGCCAGACCAAGCAATCTTGGAGCAGTAGTGGGCCCCATAGAGGACGGGTGTGGCCCACTGGCATGTGGACACGTTCTGGCGGTACCGACAAGCCTTGCACATTAACCTTGGTATTACACAGGAGCCCGCATTAGGCAGACATGCTTACAGAGCTCCAACAAGACCCCAACGGCGGTGTACACGGAAGAGGTGACCACCATGGGAATCCAACGAATCCAACGACTACACCTGTGCATGAAGGCAATGCCTGATGAACAGGCTACAAAGGCGAAACCCAACAAACTGGGCTCTCAGCAGTTCATTGCAACTCTCCCTCTCCCCAGTGGTTGTAACACTTGCACCACTGGACCAGGAAAAGGGAGAGCCAAGATGTGTGGTTGCAGCCTGCACATCTGCCTCACCACATAAAACACCAATGCAGCTATTATCCATCTCCACATTATATTTCTCATCATCAAAACCTCTATCCCCACAAAAGTCCCATGGCGACAGACGAATGGCGACGAGGACAGGCAGAGATGACTGCCGGGAGTCTCTAGTCACAGCTCTACACATGGGGGGCACAGATAAGATGGTCGTTTATGCACTGGGATCTAGGCAGCAGTCCAATCAGGTCCTGTCTGTGCGACTGAGCAGCCCTTTCGAGGAGCCACTCTGCTCACCCCACATGGGGAGGGGCTAGAGAAGGTGCCCTACATAGCCAACCTGACTGGGCAACCGCACCCAGTAAGGTCATCCTTATACGGTCGAAAACAACCATAGTCACAGATCCAAACAAAGACAAACTATACAACCTCTTATGGTCGCTGCATGGAATGTCAGGACCCTTCTGGATACTGGCACAAATGAGCGTCCTGAAAGAAAAACCTCCTTTGTGGCAAAAGAGCTGGCTAGGTATAACATGGACATAGCAGCCATTAGTGAGTCCCGGCTCCCTGCTGCGGAGAGAAACTGCATTTATGGAGTCGGCTTTGCCATCCGCCAACACATCCTACACAGGCTAACTGAAATGCCTATTGGGATCAACGAGCGCCTGAAGACGCTTCGAGTCCCAGTGAATCACTCACGTCATGCCTTCTTCATCAAGTGCATACGCCCGACACTGATGCTGAGGATGACACCAAGGAGGCCTTTTGCCAACCTTGACAGAGTGCTAACCTCTATCCCCAGAGAAGATAAGGTTGTGCTCCTTGTGACTTCAATGCCAGAGTTAGCATAGATGCTGACATTTGGCAGGAATCATAGGGAGAAATACCAGCTTAATAGCACTACCCTCTCAAATGTTACCCCACTAACGTGTGTCTCGGCTCCCACCTGTCCACCACGTGAGACATCGATGAAGAGATTCAACATTAGATCAGATGTGCATCTCAAGCCTGTGGCAGACTCCATACTCGTGTCTTCAGCTGTAGGGAGCTGAAACTATCTACAAAGCTGCATGTATATCGAGCAGCGGTCCTCCCACCCCTACTATATGGCAGCGAGACTTGGGTCACGTACAGGAGGCACCTCAAGGCACTTGAAAACTCTTACCAACATAGTCTACGTTCCATCCTCCGAGTTCACTAGTAAGACCAGAGAACAAATGCCAGCATTCTTGCTGACACTAACAGTAGGAGCATCGAGGCTACCATTGTCCATGAAGAACTACGCTGGACTGGCCATGTTACCCACATGGACGACAGTAGACTGCCAAAGCAGCTACTTTACAGTCACCTAACAAATAGTAAACGTAACGCTGGCGGACAACTGAAAAGGTATAAGGATAGTCTTAAGACAAACCTGAAAAACTGCCAAATCGACCCCCTCACCTGGGAGACGATTACACCACACTGTAACGCTTGGAGGAGCACCACACGAGAAGGTGTCACTAATTTTATTTAGCCCGACTGCAAACCGAGGCAGACATGCACCAACGGCGGAAAGATAACGCCGCCATCCACACTAGATGTAGCCCTCTCACACGTGCAACATCTGTGGACGACCCTGTCGGTCCGTATCGGCCTCTCGAGTCACCTCAGATCATTGTATCATAGGTGGGTGATCGTCATACTCGATTCTGAATGACAGCAAAAATAGTAGTAGTGTGTGTGTGTGTGTGTGTGTGTGTGTGTGTGTGTGTGTGTGTGTGTGTGTGTGTGTGTGTGTGTGTGTGTGTGTGGCCACCTCCTTATCCATCTTTGTCTACCTTTCTCTTGTTATCTGTTTCTTCTTTAATATTATTCTCCATTTGATTATCTACCTGTTTCTGTCTGTCCGTCTGTCTGTTTGTTTTTTTCTTTCCTTCTGTCTATTCTTCTCTTTTATGTATAACCTCTTCACCTCTTCCTCCACCCTCTCCTCCTCCTCCCCTCCTCCTCTCCACCTAGTCCTCCACCCCTCCTCCTCCACCTCCTCCCTCCACCCTCCCCTCATCCACCCCTCCTCCTCCCACCCCCTCCTCCTCCCCCTCCTCCTCCTCCTCTCCCACCCCTCCTCCTCCCCCTCCTCCCCTCCTCCTCCCACCCCTCCTCCTCCCCCCCTCCTCCTCCTCCTCTCCCCACCCCTCCCTCTCCCCTCCCTCCTCCCTCCCCACCCCCTCCTCCTCCCCCCACCCCCTCCTCCCCCCACCCCTCCCCTCCTCCCCCACCCCCTCCCTCCTCCCCCCACCCCCTCCTCCTCCCCCCCCACCCCCTCCTCCTCCCCCCACCCCTCCTCCCTCCCCCACCCCTCCTCCTCCCCCCCACCCCTCCCCTCCTCCCCTCTCCTCCTCCCCCACCCTCCTCCTCCCCCCCTGCTCCTCCTCCTCCTCATCCCCCCACCCCTCCTCCTCCCCCACCCCTCCTCCTCCCCCCCCACCCCCCCTCCTCCCACCCCTCCTCCTCCCCCCACCCCTCCCTCCCCTCCTCCCCCCCCCCCTCCTTATCCTAACAAATCCCTCATTGATACAACTTTATCTGAAGCAGAAAGATTTAGTTGGTTTCCTCTCCTGCCCCTCTCCCTCTCCTCCCCCTCTCCCTGCCCTCTCCCTCTCCTCCCTCTCCCCCTCCCTCCCTCTCCTCCCTCCCCCCTCTCCTCCCCTCTCCTTCTCCTCCCCCTCTCACTGCCCCTCCCTCTCCTCCCCCTCTCACTGCCCCTCACCTCCCCCCTCCCTCTCCCCTGCCCCTCTCCATCCCCCTCCCCTCTCCTGCCCCTCTCCATCCCCCTCCCCCTCTCCTGCCCCTCTCCATCCCCTCCCCCCTCTCCCTCCCCTCTCCCTCTCTCCCCTCCTTTGTCCTCCGTCTATACATCCTTTTCACCCCTTTCCCTCTCCTCTTTCTCTCTATATCTCCTTTTCTCCCTTTCTCAATTTTGTCTCTCTCTCGTTTTCTCCTCCTGCTGCTTATTTCTCTCTCTCTCTCTCTCTCTCTCTCTCTCTCTCTTCTCTCTCTCTCTCTCTCTCTCTCTCTCTCTCTCTCTTTGTGATGATGGTCGTTTCCTTCCTAATGGGTTATGATGGTCAAGATATATCACCCACCTCGAATCGTGCCTCTCTCTCTCTTCTCTCTTCTCTCTTCTCTCTCTTCTCTCTCTTTTTTCTGTTTTATTCTCTTTTTTTTTTTTTTTTTTTTTTTTTTTTTTTTCTCTCTATCTTTATATCTCTTCCTCCTCTCATTCCCTCTTTGTTCTATCTATCTACCTAACTACCTAACTATCTACCTAACTATCTACCTAACTAGCTAACTATCTACCTAACTACTAACTATCTACCTAACTACCTAACTATCTAATTATCTATGTCCTCTTAACCCCTCCTCACCACCCGACCCCTCACTGTCACGACCACAGGGGACTATCACGACCACCGGGGGAGACTGTCACGACCACAGGGGGAGACTGTCACGACCACCGGGGGCTGTCACCACCAGGGAGAGCTGTCACGACCACCGGAGACTGTCTGACCACCGGGGGAGACTGTCGACCAGAGACTGTCAGACCACCGGGGAGACTGTCACGACCACCGAGACTGTTCGACCACGGGAGACTGTCACGACCACCGGGAGACTGTCACGACCACAGGGGAGACTGTCGACCGGGGAGACTGTCGACACCGGGGAGACTGTCACGCCACCGGGGAGACATCGACCACCGGGGAGACTGTCACGACCACCGAGACTGTCACGACCACCGGGGGACTGTCACGACCAGGAAGACTGTCACGACCACCGGGGAGACTGTAACGACCACCGGGAGACTGTCGACCACCGGGGCAGACTGTCGACCACCGGGAGACTGTCACGACCACCGGGAGGAGACTGTCGACCACCGGGAGACTGTCACACCAGAGACTGTCACGACCACCGGGAGACTGTCACGACCACCGGGGAGACTGTCGACCACCGGGGCGTCCACCGGGAGACTGTCAGACCACTGGAGACTGTCACGACCACCGGGGGCGAGACTGTCAGGGAGACTGTCACGACCACAGGGAGACTGTCACGACCACCGGGGAGACTGTCACGACCACAGGGGAGACTGTCACGACCACCGGGGAGATTATCCCGACCACCGGGGAGACTGTCACGACCACCGAGACTGTCACAACCGGGGAGACTGTCGACCACCGGGGAGACTGTCACGACCACCGGAGACTGTCACGACCACCGGGAGACTGTCACGACCACCGGGGAGACTGTCACGACCACCGGGGAGACTGTCACGACCACGTGAGACCGGGGACTGTCACGACCACCGGGAGACTGTCACGACACCGGGGGAGACTGTCACGACCACCGGGGGACTGTCCCGACCACCGGGGGATTACCACCGGAGACTGTCACGACCACCGGGGGCTGTCATTGAGGGGCTGTCACGACCACCGGAGACTGTCACGACCACCGGGAGACTGTCACCGGGAGACTGTCACGACCGGGGAGACTGTCGACCACCGGGGGACTGTTTCCACCGGGGACTGTCACGACCACCGGGGGACTGTCGACCACTGGGGGGGCTGTCACGACCACCGGGGAGACTGTCACGACCACCGGAGACTGTCGACCCTGGGGAGACTGTCAACCACCGGGAGACTGTCACGACCACCGGGGAGACTGTCGACCACCGGGGCTGTCGACCACCGGGAGACTGTCACGACCACCGGGAGACTGTCACGACCACCGGGGAGACTGTCACGACCACCGGGAGACTGTCGACCACCGGGGAACTGTCACGACCACCGGGAGACTGTCACGACCACTGGGGAGACTGTCAGACCACCGGGGAGACTGTCACGACCACAGGGGAGACTGTCACGACCACCTGGGGAGACTGTCACGACCACCGGGGGGGCTGTCGACCACCGGGGACTCTGACCACCGGGGAGACTGTCACGACCACCGGGGAGACTGTCGACCACCGGGGGCTGTCTGACCACCGGGAGACTGTCACGACCACCGGGGAGACTGTCGACCACCGGGGACTGTCGATCGGGGCTGTCACGACCACCGGGGAGACTGTCGCACCGGGGGTCAGACTGTCACATACCGGAGACTGTACGACCACCGGGGAGACTGTCACGACCACCGGGGGACTGTCGACCACCGGGAGACTGTCACGACCACCGGGGAGACTGTCACGACCACCGGGACTGTCGACCACCGGGGGTCGCGACGAGACTGTCACGACCACCGGGGAGACTGTCAGACCACCGGGGGAGACTGTCGACCACCGGACTGTCACGACCACCGGGAGACTGTCACGACCACCGGGGACTGTCACGACCACCGGGGAGACTGTCAGCACAGGGAGACTGTCACGACCACCGGGGGAGACTGTCGACCACCGGGGGAGACTGTCACGACCACCGGGGAGACTGTCACGACCACCGGGAGAGACTGTCACGACCACCGGGGAGACTGTCACGACCACCGGGGAGACTGTCACGACCACCGGGGAGACTGTCGTACCGGGGAGACTGTCGCCACCGGGGAGACTGTCACGACCACCGGGGACTGTCACGACCACCGGGGAGACTGTCGACCACCGGAGACTGTCGACCACCGGGGCTGTCACGACCACCGGGGAGACTGTCACGACCACCGGGGGGACTGTCACGACCACCGGGGGAGACTGTCTGACCACCGGGAGACTGTCACGACCACCGGGGAGACTGTCACGACCACCGGGACTGTCGCGACCACCGGGAAGTTCACGACACCGGGGAGACTGTCACGACCACCGGGAGACTGTCTGACCACTGGGGGCTGTCACGACCACTGGGGAGACTGTCACGACCGGGGAGACTGTCATGCACCGGGGGTGTCGACCACCGGGGACTGTCACGACCACCGGGGAGACTGTCACGACCACCGGGGACTGTCACGACCACCGGAGACTATCGACCACCGGGACTCGACCAGGGGGAGATGTCACGACCACCGGGGAGACTGTCACGACCACCGGGGAGACTGTCACGACCACGGGGGGATTGTCACGACCACCGGGAGACTGTCACGACCACCGGGGGGACTGTCGACCACCGGGAGACTCGACCACCGGGGAGATGTCGACCACCGGGAGACTGTCACGACCACCAGGGAGACTGTCACGACCACCGGGAGACTGTCACGACACCGGGGTGACTGTCACGACCAGGGAGACTGTCACACCGGGGGGATCACGACCACCGGGGAGACTGTACGGCAGATCACGTGGGTTGAAATAGATCGATAGACAGATAGATAGATAGATAGATAGATAGATAAAAATATAAAAAAATATTAAAAATTCAGTGAACAGACAAATAGAAATGTAAATGAGAGAGAGAGGGAGAGAGAGAAGAGAGAGAGAGAGAGAGAGAGAGAGGAGAGATAGGGGTTGGGAGAGAGAGAGAGAGAGAGAGAGAGAGAGAGAGATTTGGCAACAGATAAGGAGAGCAGGGAGGCAGAGATGGTGGTGTGGTGAGAGGCTGCCTCTCCTTTCTCTTACTCTGCTCCTAGCTGCAACCTCTCTCTCTCCCTCTCCTCCTACCTCTCTCTCTCTCTCTCTCTACCTCTATCACTCTCTCCTTCCTCCCACCCCCTCTATCTCTCTCTCTCTCTCTCCTTCCTCCCTCCCACCCCCCCTCGCCATCACATCATTAAAGTTATCATCAAGGCGGTACTTGATAGTGATTGCTTCAGAGGCGGCAGGTAAGGAAGGTGTTATTGATCTGAATACTGTATAGTGCTGACACAGGTGTAAATTAAACCCAAAATAAACACATATATGTATCTTTTGGTCTGTGTGTGTGTGTGTGTGTCTGTGTGTGTGTGTGTGTGTGTGTGTGTGTGTGTGTGTGTGTGTACAAAAAACGGCCTTATTAAAAAAGACAATTAATCGACACTAAAGAACAATATGATGAGAAGACCGATAATTAGGGAGGTAAGAGTGTGCTCCCAGGTGATGACAGTGAGTAAAATAATACAAATATTATCTCTACATTAGCTACTGTATTCCATGAGTAGGTGTTAAATCCTTACAGCTATTAAAAACTTTGACTACTCATATTTTAATACTGTACCCTATTATAATGATATCTTACACCTGTAATACTGTACCCTATTATAATGATATCTTACACCTGTAATACTGTACCCTATTATACTGATATCTTACACCTGTAATACTGCCCCTCTATTATACTGATATCCTACACCTGTAATACTGTACCCTATTATAATGATATCTTACACCTGTAATACTGTACTATTTATAATGATATCTTATACCTGTAATACTGTACCTATTATAATGATATCTTACACCTGTAATACTGTACCCTATTATAATGATATCTTTTACCTGTAATACCTTGCCTATTATACTGATATCTTACACCTGTAATACTGTACCCTATATAATGATATCTCACACCTGTAATACTGCCCTATTATATGATATCTTACACCTGTAATACCATGCCTATTATAATGATATCTTACACCTGAAATACTGTACCCTATTATAATATCTTTTTACCTGTAATACATGCCCTATTATAATGATATCTTACACCTGTAATACTGTACCCTATTATACTATATCTTACACCTGTAATACTTTCCATACCCTATTATAATATGTATACCTGTAATACTGTACCTATTATACTGATATCTTACACCTGTAATACTGTACCCTATTATACTGATATCTCTTACACCTGTAATACTGTACCCTATTATATTGATATCTTACCCAGTAATACTGTACCTATTATAATGATATCTTGCACCATAATACTGTGCCCTATTATAATGATATCTTACCTGTAATACTGTGCCCTATTATAATATCTTATACCTGTAATACAGCCCTTCCTATTATGCATTATCTTGCACCTGTAATACTGTACCCTATTATACTGATATCTTACACCTGTAATACTGTACCCTATTATAATGATATCTTACACCTGTAATACTGTACCTATTATAATGATATCTTACACCTGTAATACTGTACCCCTATTAATGATATACTTACACCTGTAATACTGTACCCAATTATACTGATATCTTATACCTGTAATACTGTACCCCTATTATAATGATATCTTACACCTGTACTGTACCCCTATTATACTGATATCTTACACACCATCTTTGTACCCTATTATAATGATATCTTATGCCTGTAATACTACCCCTATTTATAATGATATCTTACACCTGTAATACTGTACCCTATTATATGCAGTATCTTACACCTGTAATACTGTACCCTATTATGCTGATATCTTATACCTGTAATACTGTGCCTATTATAATGATATCTTACACCTGTACTATGCCTATTATGATATCTAACACCTGTAATACTGTGCCTATTATGCTGATATCTTACACCTGTAATACTGTGCCCTATTATGCTGATATCTTACCTGTAATACTGTACCTATTATAATGATATCTTACACCTGTAATACTGTACCTATTATAATGATATCTTATACCTGTAATACTGTGCCTATTATAATGATATCTTACACATATAATACTGTACCCTATTATAATGATATCTCACACCTGTAATACTGCCCTATTATAATGATATCTTACACCTGTAATACTGTACACCCTATTATATTAATGTCTCACCTGTACATGCCTATTATACTGATATCTTACACCTGTAATACTGTACCCTATTATATTATATCTCTCACACCTGTAATACTGTACCCTATTATAATGATATCTTACACCTGTAATACTATGCCCTATTATAATGATATCTTACACCTGTAATACTGTACCCTATTATAATGATATCTTACACACTGTAATACTGTGCCCCGGTATAATGATATATCTTATACACCTGTGCTGTGCCCTATTATAATGATATCTTATACCTGTAATACTGTACCCTATTATACTGATATCTTATACCTGTAATACTGTGCCTGTTATACTGATATCTTACACCTGTAATACTGTACCCCTATTATACTGATATCTTACACCTGTCTGTACCCTATTATAATGATATCTTATACCTGTAATACTGTACCCTATTATACTGATATCTTATACCTGTAATACTGTACCCTATTATAATGATATCTTACACCTGTAATACTGTACCCTATTATAATGATATCTTACACCTGTAATACTGTACCCTATTATAATATCTTACACCTGTAATACTGTGCCCTATTATAATGATATCTTACACCTGTAATACTGTACCTATTATAATGATATCTTACACCTGTATGCATGCCCTATTATAATGATATCTTATACCTTATAATACTGTGCCCTATTATACGGATATCTTATACCTGTAATACTGTACCCTATTATAATGATATCTCACACCATAATACTGTATGCCCTATTATAATGATATCTTACACCTGTAATACTGTACCCTATTATAATGATATCTTACACCTGTAATACTGTACCCTATTATAATGATATCTCTCACCTGTAATACTGTACCCCTATTATAATGATATCTTACACTATACTGTACCCTATTATATTGATATCTTACACCTGTAATACTGTACCCCTATTATAATGATATCTTACACCTGTAATACTGTACCCTATTTATAATGATATCACCACACCTGTAATACTGTGCCCTATTATAATGATATCTCACACCTGTAATACTGTGCCTATTATAATGATATCTTATACCTGTAATACTGTACCCTATTATAATGATATCTTACACCTGTAATACTGTACCCTATTATAATGATATCTTACACCTGTAATACTGTGCCTATTATACCCATTATCTCACGCCTGTAATACATGCCCCTATTATAATGATATCTTACACCTGTAATACTGTACCCCTATTATAATGATATCTTACACCTGTAATACTGTACCCTATTATATAATGATATCTTACCTGTAATACTGTACCCTATTATAATGATATCACCACACCTGTACTGTACCTATTATATGATATCTTACACCTGTAATACTGTACCCTATTATAATGATATCTTACACTGTAATACTGTGCCTATTATAATGATATCTTACACCTGTAATACTGCCCTATTATAATGATATCTCACACCTGTAATACTGTGCCTATTATAATGATATCTCACACCTGTAATACTGTACCCTATTATAATGATATCTTACCTGTAATACTGTACCCTATTATAATGATATCTTACACCTGTAATACTGTACCCTATTATAATGATATCTTATACCTGTAATACTGTGCCCTATTATATAATGATATCTTACACCTGTAATACTGTACCTATTATAATGATATCTTACACCTGTAATACTGTGCCTATTATAATGATATCTTACACCTGTAATACTGTGCCCTATTATAATGATATCTCACTGTAATACTGTGCCCTATTATAATGATATCTTATACCTGTAATACTGTACCCTATTATAATGATATCTTACACCTGTAATACTGTACCCTATTATAATGATATCTTATACCTGTAATACTGTACCCTATTATACTGATATCTTATACCTGTAATACTGTACCCTATTATAATGATATCTTATACCTGTAATACTGTACCCTATTATAATGATATCTTACACCTGTAATACTGTACCCTATTATAATGATATCTTACACCTGTAATACTGTACCCTATTATACTGATATCTTATACCTGTAATACTGTACCCTATTATAATGATATCTTATACCTGTAATACTTATTGCCCTATTATAATGATATCTCACACACCTTAATACTGTGCCCTATTATATTATTCTTGCACCTGTAATACTGTGCCCTATTATACTGATATCTTACACCTGTAATGCTGTACCCTATTATATTGATATCTTACACCTGTAATACTGTACCTAATATATGATATCTCTTACCTCGTACTGTGCCTATTATAATGATATCTTGCCTGTAATGCACATACCCTATTATAATGATATCTTACACCTGTGCATACCCTAACACTTACTGATATCTTACCATACTGCCCTATTATAATGATATCTTACACCTGTAATACTGTACCTATTATAATATTATCTTATACCTGTAATACTGTACCCTATTATACTGATATCTTACACACAATACTGTACCCTATTATAATGATATCTTATACCTGTAATGCCTGCCTATTATAATGATATCTCACACCTGTAATACTGTACCTATTATAATGATATACTTACACCTGTAATAC